CTCTATTAATAATAATAATAATAATAATAATAATAAATTATATTATTATTATTATTATTATTATTATTATTATTATTATTATTAAGTAAATGTGTATGCCTGACTCTCAACGACTCTGGGCAGCTCACAACAATCAACCGAAGAAATTACAATCAAATCAACAAAAAATAAAATATAAAGATAAAAGATGGCACTTGCAATGAAGTGAGGGGTTTCACTTTCCCACGCCAAAGGCCTGGGTGAAGAGCCAAAGGTATAACCCATATCTTTGGATCATTTCCTGAAGTGGTTTCATGTTGATGTTAAATATTATGGGGAACAAAATGGAATCTTTCAAAACCTATTAGGCACAGCAAGAATCCCATAGGCCCAACTAAACCAAGAGAACCAGATTCCCTGAAAATTGTTCCTCCCAAACTCAACTAGACAATTCAAGGAGACCAGGATTCTCCATTTTATCTATACTTCCTTTCAAGCGCCTAGGACCCTTGCAACTTCTTTTTGATTCCTACAGCAATCCTGTAAGGGACAATAATAGGCTGAAATGACCTGTTTTCTTTGGGATGTTTTTAGCATTCAGAAGAAGAACCACAGACACTCTTTCTTGGGCCTTTAATGCATCTCAGCTCTCGCTTTAAGAGCTTTGTCCATTTTGCTGAAAGGGGGCACACCTGCCCAGAATTCTTGATCATGGGTTCTTTCTGCTGCAACGTTGTTGTGTGTGGTCAGAGCCTCTGTAGGGATCTTTCTGCATGCACATTTTGTCCCTCAGTCAAGTTTGAACTTGGTTGCAAGGAGGCCATTTCTCTCTCTCTCTCTTTCATCCAGATTTTATTTTTTAAAGCTATTAAAAGGGAGATCCGCTTCAACCCCAGGTTGAAACTTTCCGGCTTGGCTCTCTGATAGGTAGTGTTTGCAGGCTTCCCCTCAGCTGCCAGGAAATGTCTTGGGAAACTACAGATTGTTCTGCTTCTCGTTGTGAGTCATGAGCTAGGAGGCCCTGGGGACCTGGGATTATGGGATGCTGCTTTCTACTTTTGTCACTTTTTGGCCACTTTTGTCTCATGTGCCTGGAAGAGATTTTTCAAAGTCTCAGGCAGAATTGGGCCTTTTCAGTCTTTCTGATGGGAGACATCAGAAGCTGAACACGGGACCCTCTTTCTGTCTTTAAAGCTTGGGTTCTCCTCAACTCTGCAGCTTTGGCCATATTGGTTGGGGATTATGAGAATTGAAGTCCAGCATAGTGGTGGGCTTCAGGGTGGAAAATTAGTATCAGCTCTCTCGGGTGAAATGGACATTGCTGGGAGCCATACAGTGCTGAATGTGGTCTGAATAAAAAGGTGTACAAAAGATGCATTTTCTAGGAAGACAAAAGTTCTGGAATCTAAGAGTCTGTTTTTCCCCATTTACACTCTATT